GCTGCAGGTGCGTGATGTGATGCATGTGAATCCTCATGTTCTGTTGTTTGCTGCTTTTTGCGCATGTAAAATGAATCCCCGGGAAACAAATGTTAGTATTTTTAACGGGTCACAGACACTTCTAATTTAATTAAATTCTAATTTAAAATAATCTTGTCGGTTAACGGTTAATAATCGGTTAACGAGCGTTGGTTGTCGGTTAGGAAAAATAACCGAAATGAACATCCCTAGTTGTAACGATATACCGGTACGACGGTTTATCACGATTTGAATGTACACGGTTATCATACCGTAAACATTTGCATATCTACAGTTTAAAAAAAATGAATGAAAAAAAATCTCACCCGCAACTTATTTCCACTTAGCTGCTTAACGTTACACGCACTTGCAGCGGAGAAAATGACAGAGACAGAGAAAATATCTAATTTCCATCCCGCCGAAAAAAAGTTAATATCTGCAGTATGGGAATACTTCGGATATTTAAAAAAACGAACGCAGGGTTGTCCTTGAGGACGGATCCAATTTGCAAAAAATGTGGACGCAAAGTGGCTGCAAAAGCAGGCAATACATCCAACATCTTCGCTCATATTCGCGGACACCATCCCTCCGTGCAGATAAAGGTATGTCGCATTAATAACAAGTTATAAGTTAAGGCCGTATGATTTCCGTGAAGCAGAGGGAATCCCAGTGCAGTCGTGAACATGGCATTTACAGTATAACGAGGATGTCATGTAAAATGCGTAATCGGATGGATGGATAAATCTAAAGTAGTTATGATATGTGTCTGTGAATATTAAAGCGGAAAGAGACTGCTATATGAATAATCTGCTTGTTTCTGCATGTCTCTGAGTGGCGCCGTTTTATCTACTGCATACTGAAGTACGCATACATAAATGGTGTTGTCAGCGTCTAAGATACATAAACATGAACATCAGCAGAGCTGCTCTGAGAGAAAACGTAAATAAACATTTCCTAGTTTTATTTGAGAAAAACCATTGTCAAATTGAAACTCAAAGGTCCGCTACAACCCGTCAAAATAAACATTCGATTTAATTTGAAATTATGACAGAAATATATTAGCATTGTACAACGTACTTCAAAGTTATAATAACAACAATAATATTCTTTATAATAAAATAATTGATTTAAACATTGTTTTCAAGAAATATCATGTTTGTCCATGTTTTAACTTTGCCAAAAATAAAAGGAGTTGTAAATTTTCATTTAAAAACATTAATTAAAATGTTAAAGTGTGATATAGATATACATAAGGTGTACAGCTTTATTTTTTTTATTGTTTTTTTTAAAATTAATTAATTAATTAATTTTTTCAGAAGGGAGAGTTCAATACTTTCATTAAAATGGTTTCAAGTTTGTTGTAATAAAGGATTTGTTCACTCAAATAACTTTTCTTTTTCTTTTAAGAGTCATTGTTACTGATCAGAATTATTGTTTAATATATACCGTGATAACAGTGAAACCGTGATATTTTCTGGGACGATTATCATACCGTGAAAATCTCATACCGT